GATCGAGGCATTCATAGACCACAATAATCAAATTTGATGCACAATCAACCGTATCAGATACCCTTCCCCAATAGCAACAAGAAAAGGTGGAACAGTACCTAGGAAGTAACTTAACCAAGGATTGTAAAAGACCTCTACAGGTGAGACTAATGAACCTGAGGAAGTGAAATAGCAGAGAATACTAAACAGATGGAAATCCCATACCCATGCTCGGTTGGGTCCCCAGCCAGGCCTGCACAATGTGTTAAAATGTCTCTATACCCAAACTGATTTACAATTTATCAAATATGAAACCATCTCATTCTATAGATATTTTGGGAAAAATAATGTTTCGGCTTCGTTGAATAAAGACCGCATATCAAAACAATTCTACATAAAAACGCAAAATGGAGGTATAATATGCATCAGATATCAAGACTATACTGCAAAGCTGTAGTATTAAATCAATTCGTATTGGCACAAAAATTAGGGGAATATTGACAGTGGAACAGATTGAGAACCCTGATATAAAACCATCTTATATCGCCATCTAATCTTTGACAAAACAGACCAAAAAACATACACTTGGGAAAAGAATCTCTTTTCACTAAATGGTGCTGGGAAACTGGCATATTGTCACTTGTAGATAGGCTGAAGGCCAGGATCCATACCTTTCACCTCTCACAAAACATCAACTCACGCTGGATAAACAGACCTCAACCTAGGTATGAAACTATTAGAATTCTAGAGGAAAATGTTGGAACACTCTCCTAGACTTGGCTAGGCAAGAGTTTATGAAGGACGACCCAAACGCAATCACAACATCCAACCAAAAATAGAATAAAATGGGACATGATCAAAACTAAAAACTTCTTGCACCGGCCAAAAGAAATACTCCTTGAACAGTAAACGACAACCTACAGAATGGGAGAAAAAATTTTGATCCTGAACATCTGATAAGGGGCTGATAATAGAATCTACTAGAACTCAAAAATCAGCAAGAAAAAAAATCAAAACCCTATCAAAAGTGGGCAAAGGCCATGACAGAAACTTTTCTAAAGAATTACAGGAATAATGGTAACAAACATGAAAAAATATGCTTCAAATTTCTAATCTTCATGAGAAATGCAAATAAAACTACAATGAGATATCATTTTATTTCCAGTAAGATATGGCCTTTATCAAAACATCCAAAACAATAGATGTTGGTGTGGATGCAGAGAGATAGGAACACTTCCTGATGCTGGTTGGGGACTTGCAAAACTAGTTCACCTCTGGTTTGGAAAGCAATATGGGAGATAGCAAGTGGATCGTACGCATTTGATCCAGCGAATCCCATTTACTGAGCATCTACGCCAAACAGGATTCCAATGACATCTAACAAAAAAGGAACCTGCACTCGAATGTTTAAGCAGCACAATTCATAATGCAAAGCAGTGGCCCACAACAAGTGCCATCCAATTCATGAGTGAATTAATAAGAATGTACGTTACTATGGTATACCATGGAGTACTATTCAGCTTCTAATGAAACAATGGTGATATTAGCACATCTGTGCTTTTCCTGGATAGAGCTGGGAACCCATACTATAAGTAGTATCCCAAGAATGAGAAAACAAGCACGCCACAGGTATACTTGCCAGCACGACTGGTATTAACTGAGCGCACCTAGTGGACACATTAAGGAAACTAATTAATTGGGGTGTATTGGTGGGTGGGAGGGGGGAGGGGTAATACATACATAATGAGTGAATGTGCACCGTCTGGGGGATGGTTCACGCTTGGAAAGTCAGACTTATGGGGGAGGGGGCAGCAGGGGCATTATTTGGAACTTAAAATTTGTCACCCATAATATGGCTGAAAAGAAAAAAAAAAGGAATATGTTCAAGTTATATCAGGGAAATGATAAAAATAGGCTCAAAGTATTATATATATAACATTTTCCTAATTCGGGTTAGAGAAAGTGTAGACTTAGAATATTCCAGAGAGAAAGAGAGAGAGGAAAGGCACATAGGACCAGAAGGACAGAAGACCACCGCCCCCCCCCCCCCCCCCCTAAATTTTAATGGTATTTAATTGAATTCACAGGGTGATTTGTATTTATTCTTATTTATTTAATTTCTGAAGGCTGGGGTCTCACTCTGTTGCCTTGAGCTGGAGTGCAGTGGCTGAATCATGAGGATTCACTGCAGCCTCACATCCTGGCCCAAGCGATCCCCTGCCTCAGCTCCGAGTAGCTGTGGGACTCAGGCGTGTTGCCACCACACTCAGCTAATTTTTCTGTCTTTGTAGGAAGAGGGGAAGGGTCTCATCGTTGCCAGGCTGTGTCTTCAAACTCCTGGCCTCCAACATTTTTGCTAGATTACAGGTATTGAGCTAGGGGGGGCGGCTCCCTGCCACTGCCCCCACCTGCTGGCCCCCAGCCCCATCTCACCCGCTCCGATACACCCTCCAGCAGCAACCTGAGTGGCCTCTCTAAAGGGCAATTTTTATCTGTCCATCCACGTGACTCTTAAAATCCCAAGGCCCTCCCCTGCCCTAGGATAAAGCGTCTCTTTGATGTTGGGACCCCACATAGCCCCACATAGAGACCCTGTGTCCCTCTCCCCGACTAGGCTCTGAGGTCCCTGCCGGTGGAGCCCACGACTGTCCTGGGCTCAGAATGGAGAAGGGGCTCCAGGCACAGGCCCTGGAGTACTTGCTGCTGCCCCCGGGCATTTGCTCAGGATGGGCTCCCTGCAGAACCACCCCTGCCCCTGCCCTCTCCTCGGGACCAGCCCTTCCCAGCTCCTCAGGGTCAGAGGCTGCTTCCCCGAGTGTCCCCAGGCTGACTCCTCTGCCCCTGCTGCCGGGGCTCACTCCCACTGATGAGCTCCCGTAGCCCTTCAGGGCTCTACTGTTTAGCTTTAGCTTGAGTGGCACGTGGGACTTCTCTGATGTCCCACAACTACCCTGGAGCTCCCGGAGGACAGAGACCATGTCTACCCCATCCTTGTGTCCTCTGCTCTCACACACAGTAGGTGCTCAATTAATGCTTGTGGATCAAATATGCCCATAATGGATAGATGGAGGATGTAGCAGATATTGTTGATGCCCCACCCAGAGCCCCTCCAGACCTGGGCCCCCCACCCCCAGAGAAGCTGGGTGTTGGCTGCTGAGTACCCCAATCTGCCTCCTTCTCCTAAGAGTCACCCTGGTCTACTGGGAGCTGCCTTGTCTCCACCCCACGCCCCTCCCCACCAGGGGCCACCTGTAACCAACGACCGGGAGAGTGGACCACACCACGGAGGGGACAACTGCCCTGCCCCCTTGCCTCTTTGCAGCACCATTGGAGTGGTGCAACACCCCAGAATTTCTCCTGAGACGGAGCTGAGGCCAGACTTTCCCTGGAACCACTCTTGGCGTGGTCGCACCCCAGCCTGTCCTGTTTTCCTGGTTCCCGCGCAGGTGTCTCCGGGAGAGCACTCCCTCAATAAATCACTCGCATGACAATCCTTGTCTCGGCCTCTGCTTCTAGGGAAAAGGGTGACGATGGACAACTTTTTGGTACGAGGCTCTCCAGCCTGTCATTCGTGTGTGGCGGGCTGTGTGCCAGCGACGCAGCTGAGGTGCCTGCAGCCACCCGTGCTCCTGGCCAGGGACACACGTTTGTGACACAACTGACTGAGCTGTCCTCCCGAAACGCGGTGGTTCGGGGGAGGCAGGGTGGTCGCAGT